AAGGGTAATAAGGGATATTTTTTATCATTGTTACGTAAGCTTTCTTTTATCTGCCCGAAAAATGTCTTAATCGTAGGACGTGGTTGATTAAATTGCTTTTGCTGGCAGATTTTTCAGAGCTTTATGCGTAATATGGTCCAGTTTTGGAGCAAATATTACCTAATAAATAATCAAACTAAATCTTTATAAAAGTTTAAGATAACATAATAGTGCATAATAATAATGTCATTAGTGAAATATTGTATTAACATAAAGTCTTTTTAATAAACACAGAAGTTTGGCAATCACTTTATCACTAAAATTTATGCGTCCTCTCCATTTTATACCTCGCACCATAAATCACGTCTTCCATAAAAATCTAAAAAGTCCTGTCCGAATATCCTTCAAAAGAAAGAGGCTATAGTTGTTATTGAATTGGAGATTCGCTTGTTTTTCTCCATTTATGAGATTTTCATAAGACGTCCGAGATTGATGTTATGAATTCTTTTCGAATCACGGTGGGTAGGGAGAGATTTTCGAATACGTTTGATGCGAGTTTGGCGTTTGAACGATGTTTTTATTGAGAAATTCGCAAGTTTTAAGGAAATATGACATGAGTTGGAATGTGCAGTAATACTTTTCCAAATAAATCATAAATAAATGAAAAATGTATGATCGGCTGTGAAAAATAGGAATAGGTACTAATGATATAATTAGGCAAAAAAATCTTATGAAACGAGAGTTAAAAGATAAGTTTCTGGAAGAACTTTATGAGGTAAACTATTATAATACAATTGTAAGAAATCAAAAGCAAATTCAGAACTAAAAATACCATTTTAAAAGCATTCAGTTCAACTGAATCAAAGCTGAAAGCAAAAGAAATTAAATTAAATCTTATACCAACCAAGACTCGACTTAGTTCTAGAAAATAAAATTAAAGTGGAAGGAGCTTAAAAATAATAATTTTAACCCTGGCCTAAGGCCTGGGCTAAGTACCATGACCGGGTCAAAATTGACCCCCCGCGTTTTTAATGCCAAGTTTCGCTACCGAAACATAGATTGACCGGTAGGTGATTTATCGATCTACGAAAATTCAGTTAGTTTATCTGTTACTACTACAGAGTTAGGCACGCATAGGGTCAATTTTGACCCGCTTATGGTATAAGTGTTTCTAGTGTAATTAACGAGTAATTTGAAATGGCGGAGTGTAGTCGCAATAAACGTCCTCTGACACAAAAATAACGTGAAGAGGAGGGACAAAAAATTATGGACAATGGACTAGATAGTGACAGTGAGTTTTTAGACCAGGCTAGTGAACACAGTGATCACGAAACAGACAGTGAAGAGGAATGGGACGATGATGACGAAAAAAATTGGCAAATTAATAACTCCGAAACTGGTAGTGAATATTCGGGTGAAGAAAGTGATATAGCTGACTCAAGGGATGTGTTTTATGGCAAAAATAGGTACAGGTGGTCTAAAACTTCTCCCACCTTTTCTCGTACACGTAAGCATAATTGAATTAGTCATTTACCTGGTGTTATTGGAAAAGCTCGAGCTAGTATGCCAGAGAAACCAGTTGATGCTTGGGAATGTATTATTAGCCACGATATATTGCAAGAAATTCTTAAGAAAACCAATAAACGAATAACTAATATGGTTTCTAAATATAATTTACACAATTTATCATGTCAATATACCAATCATCTTGACATAATTGAATTAAAGGCCTTCTTAGGTTTATTATATGTAGCTGGGGTATTTAAATCCAACAATGAAGATTTAAGGTCTTTATTTGCTACGTATGGTACTGGTTGTGATATATTTCGAGCAACCATGTCCCTAAACCCATTTTATTTTTTGCTTGGAAGCCTTTGTTTTGACGACCCAGCTACTAGACAAGAACGTATTGCGCACGGAGATAAACTGGCAGCTATATCCAATATTTTTAATATGTTTATAATTAATTGCCAGTACAATTATAGCTGTAGTGAATATCTCACAATAGATAAAATACTTATTGCATTTAGAGGAAGGTGCCAATTCAGGATGTATCTCAAAAATAAGTCAGACAAATACGGTCTGAAAATGCAGTGTTTAGTAGACTCTAAGACACACTATTTGCTAAATGTTTTTATATATACCGGAAAAGATACACGCAGAGCAAATCAAAAAAGGTATTTATCCCCACTCTAGATGTTTTGACACTTATTCCACCAATTTCTGGTACAAATAGAAACATAACAGCAGATAATTGGTTTTCGTGCGTTGAGCTCATAAAAGAACTGAGAAGCCATAAAATTTCATATGTTGGAACTCTAAAAAGAAATAAAAGAGAGGTTCTTGCTGAATTTCAACCCCAAAAAACAGGCCACCTAATTCTGCCTTATTTGGTTTTACAGGAAGTGAGAGCCTTGTATCTTTTGTTCCTAAGAAAAAATCGTGCAGTGTTGTCAGTGTCAACTATGCATCATTACAATACAATGGTTAATGGAAAGCCAGAGATTATAAATTTTTACAACGAGACAAAAGGTGGGGTGGATTTATTGGATAAGAAAGGTGCATGCTATAAAACTGGCAGAAGAACTCGTAGATGGCCTCAAGTAATATGGTTTCGCATTTTGGACATTGCAGGATTAAATGAATTTTTAATGGAGTTTAGCAAAATCAAATAATGGAAAGAAGATTGTTTCTAACCACTTTAGGCTAAAAACTTATTAAGGCCCATTTAACTCGTAGAGCTCAGCAAACCTGTTTACCGAGAGAAATTCGTAGTGCCATTTTTAAAGTTTCCGGATTTCAGGAACCAATGCCTGCCACAAATCCAGAGCCACAACGACGAAAAAAAAGGGGAAGGTGTAAAATATGTCCATATTTCAAAAACCAAAAGAAAGAAAACTCATCGTGCGATGAATGTCGAGATTTTATTTGCAAAAATCATTCCCACAGACGTTATGCATAAGATTTTATGCATAACATTTTTGAGATACGAAATGTAAATCAATTTTTTTTTATTTTAGGTAGGAGCTATGATACTTAATACAAAAGTTTTTTTTAAATAAAGTTATATCTAATTAACCAAATTCGTTTATTTTTATATAAATGTAAAAGTAGCTGTAAACAAAATAATTTAAAATAAAGCAAGTTAAAAAAAGAATATCTTTTGATACAAAAAAACAATGGGGGGTAAATTTGACCCTGCCATGGTAAAAAATGTTACTATTTTTGGCCATGGTAGTTAAGGGGTTAAAAACGATTTACCAAAAAAAATTACATTATTCACTTAAAATTTGTTCCAGTTAATTAAACCACATTTGTTGTGTATTTCTAGAAGGAAATTTAAGTATATTTTAAGATATTTAAACTCAGTATTTGTGGGTCAGGTCAAATAAAACTAATTAAAAAAATACTTATTTTACCGAATACCGTTGAACATGCACCGATTCTCAATTAAAACATCGATTTCAATTGTAAAGTCAGCGGTTTTAAAGATAGTTTCTATGTTCCTATGGGACAATGACAGAGCCAACCGAAAATCGATAAGGATTGCTGTTTTCGCAAAAGGAAGCGAATTTCAGGCGGGTTTCAAATATCTAATCCGTAAAACTGGTAAATTTAATGATGTAGAATTGAAGTCCGAGGAAATCGAATAAAATTGAATGTTAGAAAAATATCGCCAAGGAGGAAACTGCGATAGGTGTGAGGTTACAGTCGTTATGAAACAAAAAGTAATCACCAGAAAAGTATTACACTTATGCGTTATCAGGATGAACATACAGAGTTGTTTTACTTTTTCTTTTTCTTTGTTATTTTATTGCTATAAGATTTAAAAACCTAAAATCTTAAAAATGGAAAGTGCTTGGAAAAAAACTTGAACTTTGAAAACTTGGAAAGTGAACATGAAAAATAAGTTGAGCTAATACAACGGGATTCGTTCTCACAGATAAATACTATTTCTTTCTAGATTTCTGATAAAATATGGTCATCTACAAGGTAGATTTCGTCAATTTCTGCGACTTTAATATTTGTGACAGTGAGTGGCTCAGAGGCAAAAGTGCCTAACCACAAAAATTTCTTTTACTGGATAAGGCTGAATAAGTGCTCATAATTTCTGTTAAAAATGTGTGCAGAATCAGCCTAAACTTAATTTTTGTTGGTAGGGTGTCCTCATCCACAAACTGGTTTTCGCACTAACAAAATGTCACAGCAGGTTTGCGGCAAAACTGCCTAACCAACTAAAACATGGTGAATGTAAACATGAGCAATGACGCATTGGAACCTTTCGGAATCGATTTCAACTATATAGATAGCAATTATAATTCCAATTCTTCAAATATCGAGTTTTCAGGTAAGATAGTAACAATATTAATAATACTTAAATTTAAAACAAGCAAGTTAATCCTTAAATACCCATTTATAAACAAATGTGGCTTAGAATGTTTTGCGCAAACTTAGTTGTAGTATATTTTTTATTGTTCTAGACGAGAATAATGATGATTTGAGTGAAAAAACTTAATAAGTGGATTGCAAAATACCAAAAATCGAGGCAGTGATAAACCATAAGGCAAATTGCAGCAACATTTTAGAAAAAGAGTAAGAAATCTTAAGAATCATGCAAGATATAAAATACTGTGCTAAAATACCTATTTTCTAAAGGAAATTTCACCTACTTCTTACTGCATATAAAAATATGGAAAATTAAAGACAATTATGCTAAATACCATGTTTATAGCTTGATTTATGGAATTACAGTAAATAGTAATAACTTAAAAAAAAATTGAAACGCTCATAACTCAACATATTGATTTTTGCAGTTACTGCCCCATGATTTTCAAGGTGCGATAAAAGTTATTCATAAAGAATTCACAACGAACGCCTTACCAAAAAAAATAATAAATTTGGCTTCTTAAACAAATGTGCTAATTGACCGTCTTTTTAATTAAAATTTTCAGGGTAATAGAGTTTTTCTTAACATTCCCAAAGGGAATTTTTTAAATAAGTTCGTAAAATATGTAAACAAATATAAAGAACCCCATTTATTTTACAAGTTTATGTACATGTACTTAACAAAATAACTGGATACAAAACTACCGTTTTCTTCTCTTGGCATCTCCAGTTTTTTCTTTTTCCATAGATTGTTCACCACTCCTTTTATCTATCATGGGAATCACAGCCATCGGAAAACGTTGAGATTTTAATAGAATGCTTTTATCTTTCTCCAAATCTGTTTGTTTAATTAGTTGCAACGTTGAGGATTTACTGAAATTCGGACCTGTACCGTCTTTGGTAGTTTTTAATTTTTCGACGTATCTGGCGAATTCTTTTCTAGCTTGGTTAAGACATCTTTGTTCATCAGGACTCATTTCCCACAATCTGTTGTCCATTCTTATCCAGTCGGAATCTACAATTTGTCCAATTTTCCAACGAGAGTTTGGATCAGGGTCTAGCAAACGTTTGGTTATATGCTTTACTTCCTCGCTAAGCGCGTCAACTACTTTGGACCGGAACTTCCATTTTTTCTGCGTTTGACGATTAATTAAATTCCGGACATTTTTTTCCTCGAAAGGCATGGACTTATTTAACATTGCATAGAGTATGACACCAAGAGACCAACAATCGGAGGATTTGGGAAAGTAGGGGTTCCCTTTGAGTAATTCAGGAGCTGCGTAATTAAGAGAACCACAGTAAGTAGAACTGGTCATATTTTGTCCTTCTGCATTCACAACAAATCGAGCAAATCCAAAGTCGGCTATTTTAAGGTTGTTATTAGCTGATATTAAACAGTTTTCACATTTCAGATCTCTATGAGCTACTCCCAGTTCGTGTAGGTACTGCACAGCCAAAGCAATCTGCCTAAACCACACTCTAGCTCTGTTTTCAGAAGTTGCACCATTTTTTAGCAAATAGTCCAATAGATCCCCTTTTTCTGCCAGTTTCATAAATATATAATACCTTTGTTTTCTTAGAAAAATACTTTGAACATGGATAATGTGTGGATGACTGATTAAAGCCAGTATCTCTAACTCTCTCGGTAAAAACTTTTTTACAAAATCCTTCGGCGCTTTCTTGGTGTCGATAATTTTACATGCTAACTTTCTGGGTTCTTCCTTTTTTTTCGAATCCGTATATTCGGTAAAAAACACTGGAGCATAGGAACCTTCCCCCAATTTCTTTAAAAGCTTGTAGCCTTTTTGAAACAGAACCAGTTCATCTGAATCCTTAGGTGGGAGACCCTTGCGCATAGTTGCTATAAAGAGTCATGGTGAATCACAGCACTAGAATTTTAGTTTATATTTTGCTTTATACAAATGACACTGTCAAATTTATTGGTTACAACTTCAATTCAGCAACGTCAACCAACCTACTCAAAAATACTATTTGAGTCTATTTTAGTATTATTGACATGCACGTCATCATCACGTCAAAATAAATAGATTTAAATATTATTTATTTATTATAATCACACAATGATATCGAATTTAGTTTAATAATTTTAACATTTAAAGCACAAAAGACCTATACTTTTTAAAATTGATGAAAGAAAGCCTTGTTATTAGCCCAACCTAGCGACCTGTTTGGTGTAGGTACTGTCACAGAATAATAAACAATCAGAATGTCCACTCTGCTTGAAAAAGTAAGTACGCGCATCTCGTTCGTGCAGACGGAATCAGTTAATTTTAAATGGAACCAGTGTTAAGCAGTGACATTTTATATGGTGTGCATAGACAAAACAACCCGGTTTAATTTATTTACGGCAACTACAGACATAATATGCACAATTTTTTTCGTACATTTCGTACATATCCACTGCTGGATATAGGTCTCCCTCAGTCTTTTCCATGTATTTCTGTTTTGTGCTGTTTGCATCCAATTTTTGTCGATCCGTTTTATGTCATCAGACCATCTTGTTGGTGGACAACCTCTACCTCGATGTGCTTCTTGTCTCGGTCTCCACTGTATTATTTGCTATGTCCATCTGTTATCCGACATTCTAGCTATGTGCACCGCCCAGTTCCACTTAAGGGTCATAATTCTTTCTATGGCATCTGTCAATCCTGTTCTCCGTCTTATTTCCTTGTTCGTGATCCGATCCCTACGAGAAATGCCTAACATCGATCGTTCCATGGCTCTTTGGGTAACACAAATTTTATTTCTTACTTTCTTGGTTAGTGTTAATGTCTCTGCACCATATGTAAGTACTGGCAACACCCACTGATTAAAAACTTTTCTTTTTAGACACATAGGCAGTTCTGATTTAAGAACATAGCTCAGCTTGCCGAATGCCACCCAAGTGAGTCCTATGAGGCGGCTTAGTTCGCACATTTGATTATCTCTTCCTATGCGTATCTCATGTCCTAAGTACTTATAAGATTTGTCATGATTTGTGTTTTTGTATGGTTGGTTTTTAATCTAACTTGTAGAGAGGCTAGGTATAGTTTCTCCAGTTGCGATACTGCGTCATCGATTCTGTCAGCAAAAAGGACAATATCGTCAGCAAACCTCAAATGACTAAGCATTTCTCCATTGACATTAATTCCTTTTTCACTCAGATTTGCGTTCTTAAACATATGATCTAATAATGTTGTAAATAATTTTGGCGAAATTGTGTCTCCCTGTCGCACTCCCCGTTTTATTTTAAATACGTTGGTCTTTTTATCTGCCAGTTTCACATTTGCTGTCCCATTTTGGTAGATGTATTTTATCATGTTTATATAGCGATGATCTATACGGCACTCTGGTAAGGCTTTTAATACCTTTTGATGACTTATTGTGTCGAAAGCTTTTTCGTAGTCAACAATTATCATGACTAATGGTTTGTTATATTCAACACACTTCTCTATTAAGTTCTTAATTACTTGTAAATGATCATTAGTGCCATATCCTGCTCTAAAACCTGCTTGCTCTCTTGGCTGATAGAAATCCAACTTACTTCCTAGCCTGTTGGTAATAACTCTTGTAAATAGCTTATATACTTGTGACAACAAGGTAATGGGGCGGTAGATTCTAAGGTCGCTGATATCTCCCTTCTTATAAAGTAAGATGATTTCCGCGTTGTTCCACTGCGTCGGTGTTATCGCTTCGCACCTACATTTATTGAACAGTTTAGCAAGTGTCAGTAAGAGCTTATTTCCTCCTGGTTTTAGGCTTTCGGTCATTACCCTGTCTTCACCTGGGGATTTATTGTTCTTCATCACCCAAAGCGCATTTTTAATTTCGTCAAGAGTTATGTTCGGCATTAATTCTGAGCCTTGATTCTCTATCTTTGGTAAAGGGCGGCTTTCATCGGATTTACTTGTTTCATGGAGTTGTCTGTAGAAGTCTTCCACTGTTTTCACTATTTCTTCCTTATCAGTTACAATGTCGTCTTGTTTATTTCTTAACTTATGTATGTTCTTTTTTCCTGTGGACATGCTGTGTCTTAGAACTTTCAGACTTCTATTTCTCTCTCTCACCCTTGTCACCTCTCTCATGTTATGTTGCCGTATGTCTTTTCGGATTCCTTTGTTTATTGTTTTACTAAGTTGACTAAATTCTGCGTAGTTTGTGTTATACCTGTCCTTTAGCCTCCTTCTTTCTTCGATCAGATTTTTAGTGTTGAGACTTCTTTTCTCATGTTTTTTTTTTCATTTTAGGACAGCACAACTTATCCGCTTCTTTAAGAGCTTTTACGATACTTTCGTTTAAAACTTCGACCTATGTTTCGTCGTTGATTTGTTAAAGGTTATGGTCAATGATGTCACGAAAGTGGTCTGTATTTTAGGGCGGAGTCCATTTAGGATTGTCTGATTTTATCATTTTTGTTCGTTCATTCTTTAAATTGAACAGAATTTTTGCTCGAATCAATCTGTGATCGCTTCCAATTGTAAATCTGTTTAAAACAGATACATCTTGTACAATTTCTTTTTTATTAGCAATGATAAAATCTATTTCGTTCTTTGTGAAACCGTCTGGACTTTTCCACGTCCACTTTCGTTGGGGCTTCTTTTGAAAGAATGAGTTCATAGAAAAAAGATTTTCTTGGTGTAAAAAGTCTACAAGCATGGTCTCTCTTTCATTTCTTTCTCCATATCCGTAGTTTTCTAGTGCGGTTTCACTTTGGTCTTCTTTATTTCTCAGCTTAGCATTAAAATCTCCTGTTCAAATGTACTAAATTATTAATCTCTAAAAATTTAAATTACAGTTCTGTCGTAGCTTGTCACAAATTTCTCGATTTGACTCTTGTTTGGGCATTCTGGTGGTACTGGGATACAACTCATCGGGTTGCTGATGTTAAGGCAACTTTAGATAGGGTGAATTGTTCTAGCTGGAGACCGCTGGAGACCATATAATGCAAAAAGGTCAAGAGGTCGACCGCAAATGAGATGGAAAGATGACATTGAGCAAAGCGCAGGTCCAATGTGGGAAAACCTAACAGAAGACAGAGAAAAATGGATACAAATAAAGACAAATGGAGACAAATGGAAGAGATCTACAGATAGAACGAATTTAAAACGGAACATACAATTTAATATATGTCTGTTTGAACTGCATTAGAAGTAGTGGACCAATATAAAACTTGGACAAAAATAAATCCATACCTGCGTATAGACATTGTATAAAATATCGTTCAACTATCTGTCTCGCAAAAATGTTGTTTGTGTAACCATGTTGCTTGTCTAAGGAAGTTTTTAATAGTTCAGGAAATGAACCCTACATTTTCAACCCTTAAATATCAATTGTTATGAGAGCTATAGGTAAAAACAATTTTTTGCCAAAATTTTGCAACTTTTCAACTTTTGAAAATCACCCTTTACAACATTGCAGTTGTAAAGGGTGCAGTTTATAAACTAATTTAATAGATATAAATTAAAAAAAGTAGAAATAAATACAAAAAAATTTATCAACATAAAAAAGGCACCATATATTCTTATACATTTACATAAATAGTTGAAGATATTTACATTTATAGGTAAAACAATTATAATATTAATTTTATTCGTCATCAATTACATCTTCATCGTGATCTGTCATCCTGATCTTCTTCAATTATTGGTGGACTATTATTGCACCCTTCACCTGAGTACCCAGAACAAGTAAAGTTACAGTATAAACCAACTTTTCTGAACCCACATGAAACGCCGCATCCTTTTTTTCATTGGCAAAAAATATTTTTCAAAAGTTCATCGGGTGCAGGTTGTTTGTTCATGCGTAGGGGTAATAACAAACCATCTTTGGAATACCATCCCCAGTCTATTTCTCTGATATTTTCATTGCCAAGCCATAAACATATGAGCAAATGTTTTATTCTGTTGTATGGGATTTCAAAATAAGAACGCTTCAAATTTTGAATGTATAACGCCCCACTACCTAATATATCGGTTTTGTAGATTATTATGCTCCAAAATGTACTGTACTATACTAATGGAATTTTCCGAAAAAAAAAAATTGGTTTTTTAACGTATTTCCTTCATTTTTAACGATATAGTGTTTCCTCAAAAACGATTTTGTAGAGAATTTTAAGAGCTACAAGGATCTGTGAATTAAATCTCTTTGGAACCCTTGGTTTTTAAATGGGGTGAGTTTAAAGGGCTTGAAAAAGATGGTGCTTGATCGTAAATCGATGCTTTAAAACGGCTATATCTCGCCAAATATTCATTGTACAGCAAATCTAAATAAAGGAAAATTTTAGACATTAAAAAAACTACAATTTAATACATTTTTATTTCTTTCATATATTTAGTATTTTCGGGGATATTTAAAAAAAGAAGGGTAAAAAATATGAAATGGTAAATCGTTTCTCGCTTTAAGCTGTACTTTTTCTAAAACTAAGCATTTTAAATGGGTCAAACTTCTTGGACGTATTAACAATACATGTACAAAGAGAATTGCAGAAGGGTGAAGATCGATTTTAATTATGGGAGTGGTTAGGGGGTTGTTTTCATCGATTTTTTCGTAAATAATGAGGTATTGGCCTTATTTTCTTCATAACTCACTCAATTTTTGAGCTAGAGTCTTTTTTTATGATAGATCTATTTATGCTCTTTAAAAAAGGTTGCGTGAGTTTTCTTCCAAAAATGCATTATTTTCCCGATATTTGACTTTGAATCTTTCAAATTTGGCAGTTGAAGAAAACCGCTGAACATTGATGGGCCGTATTTCGGTTCCTATTATATCGCAAAAACATTTTAAAAATTGAATTGTATTTGTCTTTTTAAAAGCTACAAATTTGTTCTCTACAATTTTTTGATAAAATGCACCATTTTCGAGCTATTAGCGAAAAATCGATTAAAAACATGGATTTTTTCATCTAAAAGTTGTTACTTTCAATCGCGAATAACTT